GTTCTTTCGCTTATGAAAGTCAGGTGACTTCGGTGTAACGGAGACTGCAATGAATCAATAGGCCTACGCATAAACTGCTCCCATATGTTCATTAGGAGGATAATAAATACGTCATTTATGACATTAAGCAAAGTGTTTGGAAGCGCTTCCCAGTTGGGTGACACTGCAACAGATGGACAGAGCTGACGATACCAATATTAACAGCTGGCAATAGGAAAGCAGATCAACACGAGCGAAAGCGTACAGAGATGTTGAGCTAAGAAATTTGAAAATTAACATCAAATCAATATCGTAACCCTTAATTGTTTAATTTTTTTCCCCCTTGACACTACAGCCCCAGTGGGCCTAGGCCATGAACTTCTCCGTTCACTTCGGTTTTTCTAGATCTTACACATTCGGTAGGACTCCTTGGGCGGGTGATCAGCTCGTCGCAAGGTCTCTACCTGTACACAAACACAGAAAAACGCACACACAAACTAAACATCCATGCCCTGAGTGGGATTCGAACCCACGATCTCGGCTTCCGAGCGAGCGAAGACAGTACATGCCTTAGACCGCTCGGCTACCGTGACCGGCAATTATTTAATTAGTAAAAGAAAATAACAAATTACTTTGTGTCATTGTAATGTAATGATACATAAATTCCATTCATTTAGGACCGAATTGATAAATATTTACACATTATCGCTTACTGCAGTTCTCCTTTAAACATCAATTGACAGACATTCTTAGCTACTTTCGGTTATTCGGTCATAGGACATTTATTTTCGCTGATTAACCCACATTAATCAAAAGGCAATTTGTATTCTGAGATAAGCTAATGACAAAACTCATATGAAAATATTTAATATTCTATAATCTTAATGTTAATAAGTCCTTACATTATTCTTCGATTCCTATTTATTAGGCCCACTCTATCATAACCAAGCCTTATTATCGAATGTGAAATTAATTTTGAAATTACTGATTTTGAATAATCGTTATAAATAATAGAACTGATTCATTGCTGACTTCCTAAAATTTATTTAAAAGATCTCGAGGGTGGGAGGACTAAGGATCTGCACTGAATTTACAAACACATGTTAATATCTTGACAAGAACAAGAATCCAATAAAAGTGCGTTGTGTTCGTTCTTACATAAACGTTTCCGGACATGCGGCAAATATTTCCGTTCTTCACAACTTTCAGTTCTGTGTGCATAAACCACTTTAACACCGAATTATTCCAAAGTTGGGCTTACTCCTTTGATAGGTGCAACTCCTTGTGGTGCTGCATAATATATCTAGTGCAGTATTTCATTTACTCTCACATAGGCCGCGCCATAGCTCAAGCGGTTAGTCGCTTGCTTCCCACCTCGGCGGCCCGGGTTCGATCCCGGGTCTGGTAAAGTGGGATTTGTAGTGGACAAAGTGGTGCTGTGGTTGGTTTTCTCCGAGTAAATCGCTTTCCCCTGCCAATCTTCATTCCACAAAATTCTCCATCATCATAATCACCCGGGGTAGGTACAATAGGCCAATCAGTGGCCGCCGTGCCGAGTGGACCCAGTTGGACTCCACTCCCCACTAAGCGAATTAAAAAGAAATATTTTCACATAAAATCGAATATTTTAATTTCCATTATGTCAGCAATGCCCGAAACTTTCTTGTATTTCAAATATCCACCGTTAATAGAAATATAACCAACTGATATTAACGGCCGTACAAAGATCTTTACGTAAGCGAGAACGCTCCTGGTGCCCAGAAATTTTACTACTGGCTGCTTGGGGGTGAGCTTACTCTTGTGGCGTTACAGAAACGGTTTGTGTCCGACGGCCTGACTCCTACGGTTATTGAAATATGCCTGCTCCCCGTTACTTTGCAATAATGAGAAAACAAGAATACAGAATTAACGCAAAACTGAAAAAAAAGAATATATCTATAGACTTGAAAGGATTATGACGATGGTGCATGCTGTACAGAACTATTAAGCTTATTTTGGACTCTATCCATCGTCTGGTATATATGAGATTAGCTGTTTCTAACGGGCCCAACCGAGTAGGTCTACCCTGCCCTATCCACCTGAGGACGGAGACAGATCCAGTCTCCGAAACGTTGTGGTTTTTTGTCTTATATATACCAGACGATGGATATAGTCCAAAATAAGCCTAATAGTTCTGTAAAGAATATATCTGCTCCAAAAAAGACTGTAACAGCAGAACCATACGTCCAAAATAAAGTTGCTAAGTATCAAGTGGTCGCCCCGTCACGTGGAACGAAGCTTAGAGCTATGCTAATCAGTCACGCACGGTCGAAATCGGAGAGACAGACGTTCAAGGTCCAGGCGCCTCTTCAGTCCCTGCGACGAAGCGAAGAAATCATTTTCGGTAAAAGAAATACTACCCGCAACGGGATAAGAACCTATATCCAAGCACTGCTAATTTATGAAGAATATTTAATTAAATTGCTTTTAAAACCATCCCCCCGACATGAACTGTTATTGAATTTAAAATTTTCTGTTCCTTTAAGCAAAAATCGCGTCGCACACTATTTTTAAAGAGGGCTTAAATTACGAGAATGGTGTTATTCATCTTACGAAAATTAACTTTGTCTATTTAACGTCCGAAAGTTTTGCCGTAATGCAATTTAACTAAGTACGTCTTACAGCCCTATTTAATCGACCATAAAACACACAGAGCGGGAAGCTGCAGCTGGCGCGCACGAGAAGTCTCAGTCTGTCACTTCCGTTGTTTCCTCCAGTCCGTTCACAATTAATAGCGCCCAAACTACGCGCCCAATTTTTATTGAATTCCCTACGACAGATAAACCCTGAGTTCTTTGTAGATACGTCCACATTAGTTTTGTGTGTTTCGTTTAAAATGACGCTCTGCTTTACAGAGATGACGTCTGGCACCATCGTTTGAGTTCTTCTGCAGATTTCGTTGAAGACTGACAAATGACCGTTATAGAGTATGTGTGGGCCTATAGCTAAAAGGAGCTCTTTTTTTTCCTTGGCACTACAGTCCCAGTGGGCCTAGGCCTACCTCCATGAACTTATCCATTCTCAAAAGGAACTTCAGTCTAATTAATTTTAAAGTATATATACATACACATATACATACCAGCCTCTAAAAATATTTTCGAGTATTTTTCAAAATATTCCCCTAAAAAAATATTGAAAAAAAAAATGTGCGTAGGTCTACTAGGCCTCTGTATTTTTAATAACTGTATGTAGAGGAAACCGTTAGGTTTATGTTCTAACATGACATATTAGCCCTAAATTTATGGCACCGAAGTGTAGGCCAAGCTCCGTGGATCGTCCTGTCTTGTAGCTGAGGTCTCTCAGGTTTACTGCGCACTAAGCCAAACTGTACATGCTTACAAACACAAAAGCAGAAGAAGGTCAAGCGTACACGAAACACGTCTTTTTATTGGCAAATCACAGAGTTAATTTGCAAGAATTTCATGTAGCTTAATCCTTCCTCCTGAAGAGGCTAGTAGCCAGGCCTATTTCGTTACGAAGGAACCTCAACTCGTTTCACAGACCAATATCTGTATATGGGATACGATTACTGTTGACAGGAGCGTAAAATGGCTTTTTTTTTCCTTGGCACTACAGCCCCAGTGGGCCTAGGCCTACCTCCATGAACTTCTCCCCTAACATGGCTTTACTGAACGAAAATGCGGCCTAATGTGTTCCACCTGATGTGCCAGTCTAGAACCTGAAATCTTCCTGCATAAGCATACCAGCACTGTTAAGACTTACTCTTCTTCGCCTATTCATGTTCTACATTCACTTAACGAATACATAATATTATGAATTGGTATAACCTAACAGCCGCCTCGCTAGGTAAATCCGGTTAATTTTGCCTCCTTCAATGACAAACGGAAAGAACATACGGGAAGCTTCTGCAACTTCAAGTCAGTATACATAGCATTTCACTGCGAACTTCCACTACGGGCGATTATGAAGTGTTTCATTTTAATACAAGTAAGCTATGTTCCTATAAGTTGCAAAACTATCATGTTTAGGCGTGTCTATAATAATTTTATTTGAGAACCGTGTTTGATCGACACACTTTGAGCTCCTGTGCTCCAGGATACAGTGAATCGGGAAAGTTTAAGTAGCCCCATTTGTTCTTGAAATCAAGCATCTGTAGATTTCCAAAAGGCAACAAAAATCTGGCCTTTCACTTTTTATTATGATGTGGTAAGACTTGTTAAATTTCCCACCGCACTAGCCCCAGATGACACGCAAGAAAACTGGAAGATTTGATGGAACAAGATTGACAGGGGAAGCCTAATTAAGGCCACTCGAAGAAAATCTATGCTAGTGCAACTTTGCCTACAGCAATTCCCACATGAACTGACCTGGGATTAAACCTGGGCCAACGAGATGAGAAGCCGGCGAGTAAATACATGATTTTACACAGTGCTTGAGGTGGAATGAAAATAGAACCGGGAAGATTTTCCCCTTTTAATTCATTTACTGCATTTACTGCCAAAGAAGTAACGGGATACTTTTAAGCCATTTAGAAAAGAACCGGGATGCCATCCCACCGCATCCCGCCCCACCTCAAGCCCTGATTTTACATCAATCAGGCCTGCACACTAAAAAATACAAGACCTACGGCTATTCTTTATCCTGGAGTTCGAGATTCAAATGCACAACTAAATATAATTAAATGCAGACTTTGAAGGAATATTATTGTTACGTCATGAATAAGCTTATGTTAATTGGAATCTGAAACAGGCCTCTCACAGAGATGCATCCTGCGGCGGCCCAAAACGTAATAACATTACGACCGTAAGCATATTTATGTTGATTTTCTAATATAACTTTAATCACTGGCTCAAAGATACAATTGTCCCGTGAATCAGACAACCGGCGCAGAGCTGGCCTACCTGGAAATGAAGAGAGACCATGCAGAACGTGGCTTCCAGCGGCGAGCATAACGTTGCACTTGATTACGTCACTCAACAAGGTAACAGATACACAAACAAACAACAAGACATGTTTCGAAATGCATTGAACGACAAGTTGTTTTATTTCGAGCGATTCAATTTTTTTTTCTGAATTATCACAGAATTACAATTAAAAGAAACGTGTATTATGTACGTGTATGATGCGTCTCTAACTGATGGATAGGCTTTCTTAGGTTTTCACAGTCACAGATCTATAGGCTACTTGATGTTCACAATTCGTCCCCAACGTGGGACGTCTTCAGGATGTCGAGAGCTTATACAACACTTCAAATTCTATTGTAAAAATAATAAAAGAGCGGGAAAATATACTACAAGTCTATGAAATGAGATTTCCGAATGACAACGAGTTTCATCACTTTCGTGTCGAGTGAACTAACAAGAGTGCACAAAGTGAGACACACAGACAACAAACGTCCAATCGTTGTTACACGCTCTCTTCCGCTTCTTCGTAAGAATAAGAATATAATGAAAACTGGGATACACGATTAATAAAACAAAGACAGACAAAACACTGTTCCTGTTAAGTGGATTGAAAGCTACAGTCAGAGCCGTTGTACTAGGCGGCTGCTTGGGGCACTGCTTCCACATCTCAAACATTGCATTTCGACTTATTCTCGCGATAAACAGCTAGCGGCGTGTGCTACTTTAAATATTTGCTCAAATCTTTCGTGGAATGTGGTGTAGTTTGCTTGTCCTTGTGTTTTAAGAAGAAGATTAATTCTCTTTGAAACAAACAACACAACACTTTCAACTCGAATGCTTCCAACATTTTATTCACTCTTCATTAGAACTGGGTTTTTATAGTCTCCCTTTAATTTCATGTCGAAATTAATATATTTTGATCATATGCAAAGCAACAGTCAGCCTGGGTGCACCTTCAGGTTTTTATGTAATCCCTGTGCGAACTCCAACAACAATTTGCAGCTTCAAGTGACAGAAACAGATGTAACTGTATCTATAATCCAAGAAGTTATTTCTCTATGACAGGACCAACTATATGAACAAATGAAACAAGCTGAAAGCAATGTTGCTTCCAGTCAATTATTAATTTTGCATTTCATAACAGATTCTCAGTCGCAGTAACCTACAGTAGAAGACGTTTTGAGGTCCAGATTTCCTTAAAGCACTAGCCAGAAAGGAGAAATCCATGTGATAAGCTTACGAATGGAGCTGATTGTGAATGAAGCAGAAATACGGCCATTGATTCTCCGTAAAACTCCTCTGAAGTGAAATCGTTAATTTTCTGGGTTCAGAAATAGGCAGGATTTTTAAATAGGTATGATCAAAAACTGATAAAATTTTCTTTCTTTATGCACGCCCACACGAAATGTCAGTGAGGCCAAGCATCGCTTCGGCATGTTGTTCTGGATAGGAAACCCCACGTCTGAAATCAGAAGTTGTTCCGTTGCAACTGGTTCCTAATATAACTTCCAGCATAGCTCTGCTAATGGTGCATATCCAGTAGAGGCAATGAACGGCTGTTGAAGAGCTGCAGAGGCCTATTGCTCCTTCGGTTCAATCCCAAACTCTCACGCCAAGAAGAATATTCATATTTGAGAGCAAAACGGTTAACATTTATATTTTACCGTCAGAGGACGCGTTGCATTGTGTTTTAGTTGTGTTTTCAAACGCGCACTTAAATGTTCAAAGGGGTGAGAAACAATGGTTTTCTTGAGAATATTAATTAAAGAAGAAATTTTAATAATGAGAAGCACAATAATTACACTTAATTAGGAATGGGTCTACATATTAATCTGCTCAATCAAACGTAATTCTTGAGTGAATTTTCAAAACGCTCACAGTAAATCAAATAGTACACAAGTTATGCTACTATCCCCCGCACTAGGAATCGCTGATCCCAGAGAGACAAATTCAGATGGTTTTGAAACTACGCCCAAGCCTCACTGATCCCCTGAATTATGATTTTTAAATTACATAAGGGTCTGATAATCTTGATTGTTCAGCGTAAGGACAATACACATCTTGCTTTCAATCTGATTTTCCTGCTGAGAAATACCGCAGTGTGCTTATTTCGGTCTGAACAGAACTCCAGCTCAAGGCAAGAATTACGTTAAGCTGGAAGCACAGCCGCATTTGGAGGGACTTGGTGTGTCCGGTCCAAATTCCTCAAGCTTTATAATCGGAAGACATGAAAATGAGCGCTTCTTCTGATGAAATTCAGTTAGAAAAAGAGGGGAATTAATTGTATTAGTAGGCACTATAATTTGCTTTTCGTGAAATACGTGTAAGAACATTTTAAAAATTAAATCCTGAAACTTCCGAAGGGATATTACAGTTAGAACACAATATTTTGTTGTGTGAATAGGCCTATCACCATTAATTTCACCAATGTAGATATTCCCTGTAGAAAACTGTGGACTTTTTCCAAGATCTTTAAAATGCCAGGCCATCCGAAATAGATTTCTAGGTGCAATATTGGATTAATTATCCTCATATGATCTTATATTACTTCGTTCTTCAGGGGCTTCGTTCCCTTGAAGTAATGTACTACAGGCCGGCTTCCTATTACGCTATTTTAGCAGGAGGTCTATAACTAAGAAACGTTTATTTTCCGTTCAGTAGGCCAAACAAACTTAGCCCTAATGGACCTATATGCGCTGTTGCGCTTACTGTAAGTAAATTAGAAATCAGCTTGTAATTTTGACTTAAAAATATTTACTTTGGTAATTAATGATAAGTCACGACTTCGAGAGGCGACAGCTGAACCCCCTACCCTCGTACACAGAAGTTACTCTACCGGAAGTGCAGGTCTAGCCCATATGGGAAATCATTGCTCGATACAAGCTTTCCCCTCTTTAGAGAACCATCAGTTAAAATAATTGCCTTATTGCTTGTGTCCACATAGTACGAATCTGCTTTTCTTAGAATTTCTTCTTGAAAAGAGCACCTAGACTCTCGTCTCGATTGTAATACCGTACAGTCTGGCACGTGGGTACAAACATTCCGAACAATATTCGTCTATCTGCAAATAGCTGGTATCTACCAGCAACCGCCATGAGGACCTCCCACCGGAATAATTTGTGCCCAAAATCTCTCTCAGTTTCTGAGGCCTGGTGACAGGGTTCTATATTCTGAGCTCGTTGAAGTGGCAAGAGGATGGACGTTTCGTCGGAGCGGCGGCCGTTGTTTACAAATTCAAAAATGGAATTATTAATAACAAAGTTGTTTCGTGTTTGAGGCTGTCTCTTCTAATAGAATATTTTCTGCTTTCAGCTTTCTATTTTCATGTTATATTTCTGTAAGTTGTGGTTGCAGTTTCTTGAAAGAAAGAAGCATGGATTGTCCTCACTTCTAGTGGTTAAATTCCAAAATTATACACAGAAGAGTGGTTTAAGTTTCGCCTGGACTTTCACTGTGAAGCAAGTTTCACATTTAGAAGGCAATGTTAAATCATTACTTTTTTAAAGATATAGAATTTAAATAATATATCTTAGCTGAATCTTAAATGAGAACGGAATTCCTTTTTAAAAGCCATGCGATTATGTAGCTAACATATGACATTATGTTGAAAGTAAGATGCGTATGTAAGGAAAAATTTGGTGGAAAATTATAAGCTGAACATACAAAGGAGTTCACAAATTCTGTTTCCTTCTGTGTAAATAGCACATTATTACGTTATATTGCTACACAAACAGCTCCTTACAAATTTAAAAATTCAATTTTGACCCTTTATAGCCCAGGGGTCACCTGCTTTAACATTCTAAAACTCTGTATTCTGCCCACACAGTGTATTTATGAATTCCGTATGGTCCTCACAGTAAGCAGCGACCGTTCCCCTAAACAGCATTAACCGGCTGGGCTTTGAATCGGAGAGGTGATGTGTTTCCTGTGAGGTACGAACTGAATTGTTATATAGTTTTTACAAGAAAGTCGGTCTTTAATTGGCTAGCAGTAGGAGTGAGAATTCCTCCGAGCCGGCCCATACAGGCGTACGGCAGACATGAGACTAACATTACAGGGTGCAAACTGACAAATGAAGTCACTTTTAAAATTTGTATGAAGACTAACCACAGACAAATTTTGACTTCAGATAAATATCCTGTCTACTATAACTGCACACTCTCTTACAGGGCAACTGATGGTTAAGATTATTTCCTTTCCACAGTCGCCTCTCAGTCATTAGAAAGAAAGGCTGAATTACGCGATGTGATTAGGCCCTACAGTCCTGAAAACACTGGATTGAAATTCCCTTAATACGAACAGAGGCATCGCCTACATGCCTAGAAATTATATGACGGTGAATTGTTAACGTCACAATATCCATTGGCACCATACGTTGAAATTCTATTTAGATCAAACTGAGATTCCAGGAAGGGAAGTGCGCCATTTTTTATCCAGTTGGTGGACATAGGCCTAGTGAGAAGATGCACCCAATGGCAGCAGTGGACAGAGTCAGTGCGCCCAGTTACGGCTCTGTCTCTAGCAGACGTCATTACGTGATGTTACACGAATTAAAAAATATGTGAAACTTCTCTACCTTTTAACCCACTTAAATTTGTTTAAACTGTGACACTTTGTCGGGGAGTTTAAAAGCAAATTATAACTTTAAATATTCGACCTTATGTAACATTTATAACACACGCAACGTAGTTTATTTACAGATTGAATAGTTGTGATCAGTATAAAAGTGACGACGAGCCATTTCAAGCACCGTTTGCGCTCACCTCGCATTTGCACCACTGCGCGAAGTGGCCAAGTCTGTCTGCACACTCCACACTTGTTGCCGTTGCCAGGTTTAGGCGAGCGGGTACTGTCACAAGCTGGTAGCCCCCGCCGGTGCGTGGTGGTACAGCGAGCTCTGGTAGTACGGGTCCTGGGCTGCAAGCGCTGCCCCCGAGTGTGCGGGGTGAACGGCGTTCGGTAGGGGGCTAAGAGGGTTGTAGCCTGCGGCGTACATCTCAGAGTACATCTTGATGTCGTTCTTGCTCTCCGCGGGCAGGAGGCGGGTTATGGAGAAGGGGTGGTTGGACACGGAGTAGCCGCTGGGCTCCTGCTTCAGGTGCGGGTGGTGACCGCTGTGATGTTGCAACATGGCCTGGTGGTGCTCTGCCGACAGGGGCAGGTGAGGGTGCGCACAGCGGCCCACCATGGCAGCCAGTTCCTCGTGTTGCTGCAGGCTGTGTTGCCCCTGTTGATGCTGCTGATGCTGGCCAAGATGCTGCTGGGCTTGTTGGGACTCCGGTTGGGGCGCCAGGCCGCACAGCTCCGAGCCCGCCTGGTGCAGGAGTCCCGCCATGGGGTCCGTCTCCACTTTAGGTGGGTGCAGCCCCAACATCGGGACCAGGCTCGGGTCACCGCCGCTTGACCCTGCGGATTTGTCCTTGTGGTGGCCCTCTTCGTGTTGTTGCGGCGTCTTCTTGCCGTCGGAGGACTGCGGTTGGTGGGTGGGCGACTGTTTATGGGCCTGGCGTAGCGCTTCCTTCTTGTCATCCTTGAAACGTTTCTGGCGCCTCAGGTAGCAGCCGTTCTCGAACATGTTACCCGAGTCTGGATGCAGCGTCCAGAAGGAGCCCTTTCCTGGCTTGTCTGGAGTGCGCGGCACCTTTACGAAACAGTCGTTGAAGGACAGGGAATGGCGAATAGAGTTCTGCCAGCGTTGCTGGTTTTGCCGGTAGAAAGGGAACAGATCCATAATGAACTGGTAGATCTCGGAGAGGGTGAGCATCTTGCTAGGAGCATTCTGGATAGCCATGGTGATGAGCGAGATGTAGGAATAGGGAGGCTTGGCGTGCGTGTAACTCCGGCGGTATGTCTTGTCGTTGCGTGCCCTCTGCAGAGCGGCGGCCGAATTGGGAGAGCCGGCGTCTCCGGGAACGGCGCCCAACTCTCCGCGTCCCACCCCCATGGAACCGACGGGCGCCAGGGCCCCGTTGTAGCCCTGTATGGAGCCCATGCTCCCCATGCAGGATCCAACGCCGTTCATGTTACCCATGGGCGAGCTGTAGCCCATGCCTGTGGAGGACATGCAGCTGCCGTTCATGTTGATGGAGCCCATGGCGGAACCGAGCATGTTGGAGCCGAAAGTAGCCGCCGTCTGTGGAGAACACGAGTTCATGGACACACAGCTCATCGAGTTCATGCTGTACGTGGGCGTCATGGGGCTCATGGAGTTCACGACAGAGTTACTGCTCATGGCGCCACCCCCTCCGCCCCCGCTGCTGATCGCCACAGTGTCCGAGTACGATAGCTTTCCGGACAACATGGTCACGCTGAGGTACTCCTCATGTTATCAGCAAGTATCGATCAATTAGCGGCAGAGGCACAACACTCCGTTATCACCACTCACCGCATCTTGGTACAAATTTCTTGCACAAACACACAGCAGCAACAGGTCCCCTATGGGTGGGGTACACACACACACACTATTTACTCGCAGCTAAAGTGTAACACTGATTGAAAAAACAAACATTCGTTTACTAACGGCGGCGGCGACGGCGACGACGACGGTGGTGGTGGCGACGCTGTGTACAGATCACGTGGGGGCGTCGCTCCAGCTCCGAGCTGCGTCTTGTTTGGCCAAGAGAGGGGGACGCACTATTTAGCTTTCGATGATCAAACTGAAGTGCCTTCCAAAGTTTGGGAACATGAAATAGCATGGATACCAAGAGAGGGGAGGCGGGTGACCTCAAGAACATCCCCTCCTCTTCGCCCCCACCTGCTTCGTCCGAAAAACCATTCATGAAAGGACCCGCCCTCTCCAGACAGAGCGGAGCCAACGCCTGCCCGATTTATTTGGATGCACTGCGGTCGTCATGACAACACCAATCAGAAGCCAGTGTTTGGAAGCTGAGAGCGGGGCCACGGCCGGTAGTCACGCCCCTCTACCTCTGCCACATCGCAGACTGGCACCAACTTGCCTAAGCGCTACTCACGGGAGAACATGTAACTACACTTCTAGCGCGATTTTTTCTCCCTGACGGTTATGTGCGCGGCCGAACTTAGTACACGATTCGCCGACGGTGTAACGGCCCTGAAAAACACTTGTGAAGTTCAGCCACGTGTAAATTTCGTGCCACGGCGAAACTCAGTGTTCGCTTCAGTTTGCAAATCTGCTGTCAAGATGGAAGCGTATTGCAGGTAAGAAGTGCACTTAAATTTGCCGTAATTTCCGAGCGCCAGTGAAGCTCGCCAAGTTCTGTGCGGAGAGCACAAACCGTGCACAGTTCGCCTGGCCCACCATTTGCTACTGTCTGTCGCCATTCCAAGATAACCAGTTCGGGGTCCCGTCTGTGTTAATTTATTTGGCCAATACAATAATGCCACAAATAGGTGAGGTAAAAGGTAAAGTTGTCTCTGTGCTTAACGAATTAAGCACTACTGCATGAAAACGTAAGGGGGAGTGGATGTATAGATCCAAGTTTTCTTGACCTGGGCACTAGATTGAGGTGAGGGGTCAGCTTCACGCCCCCGCCGCTTTATCCCCGGTATCCATTGGATAGGAGGATTGGTGGACCCCAGAGCCAGTTCGGACGACATGGAGCAGTGAAAATTCTTGCCCCAACCGAGACTCGAACTCGGAGCCCTCGGTCGTCTAGCCCGTAGCCAGAAGCTATACCGACTGACCTCTCCTGGTTCGTAATGCCACAGATAGAGGAACTTAAAGTAGCCCATGTTGGCTGGTACAGTGGCTGACCTGTAGCACGTTCATGACTCCTCAGCAGAGCGCAGAACAGAATCATAATACGGACTTAAAATCATCTAATAAACAATTCAAATTTGTGGTAAAGTTCAAATAATTTTGAATAAAAAATTCGTGCAGTCGTTTCTGGCATTCAGTTCAGAACCGTTCATGTCCCCATCTGTTGTCTGAGATCAAATAATCAGGGTATACGACACTACAATTTTGCCTGTGGTTTCGTATGTTAGTAAAATTGATCTCTTACATCAAATGAAGAACACGGACTGGGAGGTGTTGAAGGCAGTGACCTAACTAATGCGGGATATATCGCCTTGAAGTCCGGTTGCATTTATCGACATTTCCGAGGGAATTACTGCCCCATCTTCACGGTCGAAGGGTAAGCTATTTGCAGATTGGCTCACTCTTCAGTCCTGATGAAGGAGATAGTACGTCTCTCGGCAAAGTCCGAAAAATTCTACCAGGTTATACGACATCACAGTACTGTGTGTAGTTGGGTTTTAAGTTCTTAAGGCAGTGATCATGAAGATCACAGTCTTCTGGGTTGTACACCGTGTAGTTCGGAGACAGTCCGACGTTTCGTAAGAACATATCGCCATCAAATTCAGTGTTGAAAAGTACGCCAAGCAAAAAACCAGCAAAATCAGACGGCAAGCTTACTCTTCAACCATGAATATGGAGGCTATTTATTCTTCCGAAACGTTGGGCTGTCTCCAGATTTTAAGGCATTTCAACCCAAATGATGTTACTCTTTAGTACAGTTGCAGACTGAAGCGATTTAGAACAGGCCTGCATCGACCAAAAAGGGAAGAATTTGCAGGACGTAGGAGCGGTTGCATAACGAGCAGCTTTCATGGCGGAGACTTCAGATTGTAGTCTTGTAGGCGCGGAGGAACCTCTTACTTCGTCCTGAAGATGGAAGCAGGACTCCCACCTGACCATTTACAGAAATACACGGTATCACAGTTCTGAAGCATCCTCATAATTTTCACTCTTTAGCAGATGTAATTAGGATGATTAAATCTAGGAGAATGAAACAGTTTGGGCATGTAGCACGGATGGGAATTATGAAGAATGCGTAGGGAACACTGAAACGGAGAAATCATTTCGACGACTTTGACCTACGTGGAAAGATAGACCTATATTAAAATTTATATTAATGAAATGGGACACGACGGCGATGATTGGATTCAAGTGGCTCTGGATGGGGTCCATTGACAGTCTCCCGTGAACACTGTAACGTTCGGGGTCTTTAGAATGAAGGGAATTTCTTGACGCGCTGGGCGACCTCTTCTCCCCGGGGTCAGCAAGTTTACAGTTGCATCATGTGACCTGATCTGACTTGGCTTCATGCGTCGGCCTAGAGTTTGTGAGCCTACAGATTTATTTATAGATATGCCTTAGGTTTTACGTAATTCGTGAAATATTCTCATACTAAAATATATTTGTAGGCATAGGCTAAATGGCTATAAGCTGATATCAAGATAAGTAAGCCAAGTGAAGCGACCCTGAAGATAGAGGCAATATGTTCCTCCGAAACATCGGTAGTCACTTACCGGACACAAACGTACCATAACGGAGAAGATCACGATATAAGTCAAGAGTTTCAGCTCAACAGCCTTTATAGAGTTACGCAAGAGTTTAGGCCACAGGCAAGTAACAAGCAACGGACACTGCCCATAGTCTCAGATCTCTTGATTGTCCAGTGATCGAAATTAGGTCTTTCTAACCGCCCCACTGACTAGGAACCTTTGGTCGCTTAATGCATACTCCGACCGCAGCAATTCAGTCAACAAAATGGACACCCTAAAGAGAAGTCACTTTCTGCTTATGCACTATTGTCACGTGTATAAGTGGCTGTAGATGGGATTTGGGTTGGTGAATAGATTTACTGGGCACTCACAAGTCGTAGCTACAAATAATTACAGCACTCTGAAGATTACGAGGCACGCGTAGCGTAATTGGTTGAGGCATTATGCTACAGACCGGAAGGTCGAGGATTCTAACCCCGATGAGGTGGATTTTCTTTCAATTTACCTAATACTTCCAACTGCATTATGGTCCACTTCTGTTTCTTGCTATTCCTACTTTCAGGCGGTTTTAACCGAGCCGTTGTCTAGAAAATTATCATATTGGTCACATGATTATGAGAAACATTTAGAATTACCCCTAATCTTGGTTGGTAGTTTAGCTAACTGCATACGCCTGCCGCTTTCTTCTTTCTAGTTTCATATTTGGCTTAATCTTCGATTCTGAAGAAGGAAACAGTATTTTTCTCCGAAACACCAGTGAATTTTATACGCCTACACGGCGTTACATCTCAGCAGATAATATTCTTTATAAATAATGGTTCTTAGTGTAACTAAGACATCTTTATTTATTCTCGTAAATTCCACAAGCCGGTCACGGTAGCTGAGCGGTCTAAGACATGTACTCTTCGCGCTCTTCGAAACCGGGATTATGGGTTCGAATCCCACTCAGGGCATGGATGTTTTGTTTGTGAGTGTGGGTTTTTCTGTGTTTGTGTACAGGTAGAGGCCTTGCGACGAGCTGATCACCCGCCCAAGGAATCCTACCGAATGTGTAAGATCTAGAAAAACCGAAGTGAACGGAGAAGTTCATGGAGGTAGGCCTAGGCCCACTGGGGCTGTAGTGCCAAGGAAAAAAAAAATCCACATACGTTTATAATAGTCCAATGAACTGCAAATTATAGTGCCAGTGGCGACTACGTCATTCAACAGAAGTGCGATTGACAACTGTCGAATACAGAGTCCTTCTGGAGACGCTGATACTTGCTCAGTTAGCCAAGAAATTGCCAACATATTGTCATGTGTATTAGTAACTATAGACAGAGGCCACGCCATAGCACAAGTGGTTAGTCGCTGGCTTCCCATCTCGGCGGCCCGGATTCGAGCCCGGGTCTGGTCAAGTGGGATTTGTGGTAGACAAAGTAGCGCTGGGGCAGGGTTTCTCCGAGTACTTCGGTTTCCTCTGCCAATCTTCATTCTACCAATTGCTCCACAATCACCCTCACCTATCATCTGGGGCTGGCACAATAGGCCAGAAGTGGCCGCAGTACAAAGGACTTAGTCCCACCCCACTGGCAATACGAAAACTATAGACAGGGTTTGAATTGGTGAATAGATTTATTAACATCTTGTACAACGAACAACTCGTACTTATACAAGCAACACAGCGCTATTGCTGATATACAAAATTTACAGTTCACTTTTACACACGCACAATGCTTCTCAGTCTTTTCTAGTCGTATCCCGGTAACGGAATTACTACTAAATTCCAGAGGCTATCCTACCTACAACTGAATCCCTTATACACTCGCGGCACGGACCACGCAACACAGGAAACACATGTCACGTGTCAAAATGCGTGTCGAATATCCCGCTGCCCAACACGGGGCATGGCATGTCCTTTATAACCATTCAGCATGGACCACAGCAAAAAACACAGCGTTTCCACTGTTGTGTGACGTCACTGCATACGCGAGAACTTGTCTAGCGCGCTGCATAGTAACGGGCCGCGGGCGGGCCACAGAAAACTCTGCTCCGCTATTTTCAAGAATGTGTTTATTGGGCCGTTACTTAGCAGTGGATCGATACGTCACAATATTAATTAGGGAACCCGATGAGGTCTTTGGATTCTTTTCAATTTACCTAATCCTTCCAGCCGCACTATGGCCCTGGGGTCGACTCAACCTCTAACAGAAATGAGTACCAGGAATATTCTTGGGGGCAAAGGGCAGCCGGCGCGTAAGGCTGACAACCTTACAGCCATCTAGGAGCCGATTGTCTAGATAATGTGGGAACCTCAACATCTCACAACCCTATGGGCTTCCACGACCTGTAACAGGGATACCTTTACTTTTTTACTCGAAGATATTATCTATTCAAAAGATCCGCACTGGCCCTTATACTAAGTCAGATAAATTTTATTCATGCTTTTCCATACTATTTCTTGAGATCCAATTTATTGTCGTCTTTCCACTCTCTCCTAGAACTTCCAAGTCCCAATTTCCCCATTAATGCCCTCTCCTATGCGTGGCATCGGCCACCCCAGCAACAGACCTCTTTGTGGCGGGGTCTTGCAGCTCTGCTGCCTTACTCTCAACCTCACATTCACGAGGTGTAGACAGATGAGGTTCGGGTTATCGAAACAGGAGTGTATTATGCTTAAAGCATGAAAATATTCGTTCTAAACAAGAAATCACTTCTAAACGAATGTAATTGCATGAGGCCTTTATTCGGAACGGAGAATTTGACGCAAACCAATGTAAGTCTTATGATAACTTCCCTCTTGTAAGGAGGCATGATACGGGATCACCATTCTGTGATGAGTGTACTTATTTGTGAGTCTCCCCACCCCGCGTCAGTAAGGAGTGCCGTCTAACTGACAGCAAATTGATTAGTTAGACCTAATAATTTTT